CGCCCTAGCAGACCAGCCAGTCCAGGGTCCACACTGTGTCCTGAGACAGAAAGGACAGAGAGCGGTCACTGAGGGCACGGCAGGGACCTCTAATGGTGTCTGGGCAGGTCCAGGAGCACAGAAGCTGAGGCCTGAGGACACCCACTGGCCTCCATGTGCTTGTCTGAAGATAAGTCCCAAGGTCAGCCCAGCTCCCTGCAGGCAGGTCTGAGAGAGGAAGCCGGTGAAAGATCCTTGGGGACCACAGTGAGTGATGACCAGGAAACCGACATCTGCCGTGTTTTTCAAGTTTCAAAGTCATTTCACACACTTGTCTCACTCCGTCTTTATGGTAAACCTGTACTTCATGTTTGCCAGAAGAAATTTCAGAGTACCAGCCAGGAGCCCTCAGCATTAGGGGCTCCTCAGACTGAGGACTACGAGGCCCTATTCTGTCTTCCACCTCACACCATCTGGGGATGTCTGTGTATGCGTTAAGGTGGCACCCAGATAATTGTAGGAGCTGTTAGGCTCAGCAGGTGGAGACACTTGAAAAAGGTCCCAGAGTTGGGCTTAATGCACTTAGGTCTCCTTCCAGAGACCAAGTTCTTATCCACTAAGACGGGCTTATGGTTAAAAAGGAAGAAAGGCTGTGGGCAGGGACATGATTTGGGCTCAGCCCTGGGAACAGTGACACCTATAAAAGTTGGATTTTACCTCACAGCTGTCAGCAAACTGAACATGAAAACACAGCTCATTAGCCCTGGAAGTAGAAGACAGAACCAGCAAGCCCACCTTCTTGTCTTTTTTATTTTATTTTTTTCAAAAGCAATTTAATAACCACAGTAAAAAAAGAAAAAAAAAATTGAGGGAAAAATACCACTCTGATGGCTGGTGTGGAACTGTACGATAAGCACTGGACCTCAAGGTCAGTTTGAACCACAAGATTGGCAGCTCAAACTCACCAGCCACTCCTATATACAGGGTCACTACGTGTTTGAACCAATTGGACAGCATTTAACAACAACAGCAAAGGCTGAAGATGGAGTCCTGATGTTGTGCTGTAGGATAAGCACTGGACTGCTAACTGCAAAGTCTGCAGTTCAAATGAAACCAGCCTTCCCTTGGAAGCCCTATACTCGATGGCACTTAGCAA